GTTATACAGATTTAATGCAATCCCAATAAAAATATCAATAGCATATCTCACAGAATTAGAGAAAACAATCCTAAAATTCATTTGGAACCAAAAGAGACCTCAAGTAGCAAAAGAATTCTGGGCAACAAAGGCAAGGCAGGGAGCGTCACAATCCCTGACTTGAAAGTGTACTACACAGCCCGGGGATGTAGCTCAGTGGCACAGCACCTGCCAAGCACGAGGTCCTGAGTTTGATCCCTGGTATCAAAAAAAAAAAAGAAAAAGAAAAAGAAATTATACTACAAAGCTAGTGTGATAAAAACAGCATGATACTGCCACAAAAAGAAGACCCAAGGATCAATGTAACAGACTCTAGTCTGTTTATAAATTTCTTAATTAAAAAATAATCTTACAGGGCTGGGGATTTAGCTCAGTGGTTTCACCGCCTGCTGCGCAAGTGCAAGGACCCGAGTTCGATCCCCGGTACCAAAAAAAAAGAAAAAAGAAAAAAAAATTTTAAAATGGAAACAAAGCTTTTGTAAATAAGTAGGGGAAGAGGTGTCAAAGGGAAGGGAGGGGAATGGGAAAAAAGCAAGATATATCATGTGTAGGTACAAATTCCCTATGATGAATGTTATCATTATGTGTATCTAAAGTGTACCAATAAATGTTTTGCTTAAAAAAAAAAAAAAAGAAGTGAAGGGAATCGTTTATGAGGAAAAAGCCCACTAGTATTCAGAAAGCTGAATTGTTATGACAGAAATGAAGTATAACATGGGTATAGACAATGGGCTTTCCTTTAGATTGGTATACAGTGGAATAGTATCCTTTAAAAAGATGGAAATCCTGCGATATGAGACAACACAAGTGAACACTGAAGACTTTTTTTCCCAAGTACAGGGAATCAAATCCTGAGCCTTCACACTGAGCTACATTCACAGCTTTTTTAATTTTTTTTTTTTTTTGAGACAGGTCTCACTAAGTCACTAAGTTTCCCAGGCTGGTTTCAAACTTGTGATCCTCCTGCCTAGCCTTCAAGACTGCTGGGATCAGATCACAGATATGCCCCACCACACCCAGCTTTGAAGATATTTATTTTATTTTATTTTACTTTATTTTCTAGTCTTTGGTTTTTCTGAGACAGGATCTTGCTATGTAGTCCAGCCTGGCCTCAAACTCACAGTAATCCTCCTGCCTCAGCCTTCCAAGTGTTGGGAATATGAAGACATTTTAAAAAATTATTATTGCGTGCACCGTGTAGCTCAGCGGCACCACGCCTCCCTGGCAAGTGCAAGGTTGAGTTCCATCCCTGGTACTGGGGAGAAAAATACTGCATTTGAGTCACATACATATTTTTGTCTCCCCACCATTTTCAATGTCTGACTACCACTACTATATCCTATCATAACATTCCATACATACTTAAAAGCAAGAAAAGGGTGGAGTTTTATCTTGAAAAACTACACAGGCAGTTTGGACAACACATTCTTGGCAATGGAACCTGGAGGACATTTATCAGACACTGTGGGGAAAGTTCTTGCTTTGCTTTCTAGAAACAAGATATTAACTGCTACAGAAATAAAATAAGACAGAAAATGTTAACAAATTGTTTAAACTACTTCCTTGAAGACATTTTGCTAAGAGAAATATGCCAGTCACAGGAGGACAAATATTGCAGATTCCACTTCTATGAGCTATCTAAAGTAGACTCAGGAAAAGCCGAATGGTGGCTGCAGGCACACAGGGGTGAGGAATTGAGGAATGGTAGTCAAAGGGTGTACAGTTTCAGCGATGCAGGATGAGGAAGTGTTTGATATCTGCAGTACAACATTGTGCTTATATATATTGTTCAAAATCTGTTTAAAGGGTAGCTCTGATGCTAAATGTTCTTACCACAGTAAAACAAAAAATTCAGAATTGCTAACTGGCATAATCACGTAATAGAACATTTTATAGCAATAAAAATAAGTGTATTAGTAAAATACATTTTAAAATTATAAAAAATATTTAAAATTTAAAAACCAGTATCTATAGAAGAACCTCATAAACAGAATGTTAAGTCAAACAAGACAGATGTACTAGAATACATATGGTATCATCACATTTACAGACTCTGAAACCAAGCAAAACTGAACTATATCATTCACCAATGCACAGAAGGAAGTAAACTATGCAGACAAGGAAATTATTATCCCCAAAAGGAGTTGTCCCCACTGTGAGGAAGAGGTTATAATGAAGAAGAGATATTTCTAGAGTACTTGTTCTTTTTTTTGGCAGTATCAAGAATTAAACTCAAGAGTTTTCACATTGAGCCACATTTCTAGTTCTCTTGTATTTTGAGACAAGAGTCTGGCTATCCTCATATTTGTGATATGTCTGCCTTAGCCTCCCCAAGTGCTGGGACTACAGGTGTATGCCACCACATCTGGCTATGTTCTACTTCTTAACCTCAGTAACAGTGATGTGTAATTTTAATTTTATAATTAGTTTTTTTTTTTTGGTACCGGGTATCGAACTCGGGACCTTGGGCTTGCGAAGCAGGCGGTGGAACCACTGAGCTAAATCCCTGGCCCTAGTTTTTTTCTTTCCAAGACAGTATCTCACTCTGTAATTCAGGCTGGCCTGAATTCACTACATAGCCCAGGCTGGCCTGGAACTTGCAAGGATCCTTCTGCCTCAGCTTCCCAATCCCATGCTGGGATTACAGGGATGCATCACCATAACTGGCTATAATTAGTCTTTATATTTACTATCTATACAACATAATTTGGGTAGGGAGGTTTCTGTAAAACCTACTACACAAATTCTGAAAGAGCTGTAATACTGGACAATATAATTTTTAATGTATAATCATACTTTATAATTTACATAATTTATACTTTTTAATGTATCTTGTTTCTAACAATAAAAAAATTTTAAAAGTAACTGAAGTGGCCGAAAGGATTATGACTGCAATGTTTTTGTTAACATTGAGAATGTTTCAATAAAATACTGGAATTCTTAAAGTAAACTCAATAGTTCCTTGCTATTATAGAGAACAAGTCCTTAAGTTGTAAGTCCAAGAACTGCTACTCTCTGACTTCCATTTGTATTTTTCATTCAGCTAATATTTACCCCAGTAACCACTCTGTGCCAGGCAGAATGATAGACACTAGAGTACAGAGATAAGAAATAATTACTGCTTCTAGACTAGTGGGAAATAGATATGTCAACACATAATTACAATGGAATAGGATAAGTCTGACATAAAATGTTTTCTTAAAAGCCTTATGGCTCTCAGATGAAGAAAAAAACAGGAAAATTGTTAGAGAAGCTTTACAAAAAACACTGAATTGGACATTAGAGAACTGGAACCTTCCAGACAGGATTGAGGATGTGAAGATTAGTCTGCATGATTTGGACAGACTGAGGTAGAACAACGGTTACTCAAAGGCCTCATGAGTTCATATTATAAACGGCTAAGTTAGATAGAAATTAACAGAAGCTGGTGATTTAGCTCAGTGGTTTCGCCGCCTGCTGCGCAAGTGCAAGTACCTGAGTCAATCCCCTGTACCAAAAGAAAAAAAAAGAAATTAACAGGCAGTCAGAGAGGGAGTCAGTAGAGAAGATGAGACATGAAAATTGTGAATGGAGATGAACTGGAAGGCCTGCAGCCTCCCTAAGGAATGACAACGGCTTGAAATTGCACTGTAATCAGCACCATCTGGTCCAGTGGGCCTAGATAAGGTGTTCGATGCTTAGGTGGAAGACCAAACACCCTGACCCATATTCCTGTCCCTTCCCCAAAATGCTTTGTTCTTTCTTCATTAGAAGCTGAAGGTAAGCTGAAGTTAAGATGCCCACCATATACCCTTGCTACGTGACTCCCTTCTCCCTACTGGATTGATACTAGCTAAGCTACTGTAATTGTAGTCCTATAGGTTAATTGTAGTTTGACACATGGCTTCCCAGGTTGTGATTCTGTGTATAAATTACCCCTGGACAAAGCCTCAGCAGCAACCCATTTTTAGGATTCCTCCTGTCTCTCAGTAGCTTTCTCTCAAACTTTTCCTACTCTTAACCATCTTTGTCCTCGTATCCATTCTTTGGTTATTGAAAGACATGAACTTAGCACATCTGACATCTAATGGGCCGAGAGTCCCTGTGGCACTAAGGGATTTAGATTTTATCCTACAGGTTATAGAGACCTCAGACTTTCACTACTAAGTTCCCAAAATAATTATACAATTACCTGGGACCTCTTTATCTTTTCTTCCTCTGGGAAAAAAAAAATGCTAAAGGATACATACAGAAAAATATGGAAGATAGACTGATGCCTGTGTACTCATCAACCAAATTTAAAAAGTTAAGGGCCCAGGGATTTAACTCAGTGGCACTGCGCCTGCCTTGCAAACGCGAGGTCCTGAGTTCAATCCCTAGTACCCCCCCCCCCAAAAAGTTAGGTTCTGTCCTATTTTTCTTTCAAAGGCAAAAACCACTTCGGATATATTTTAAAATCTCGCTCACTCCCCTTAATCTCTTCCTTCCTCTCCCTCCCACAGGTAACACTGACTAACCTACAGTAGATGCACCTAATTCCCCTGCATTGTGCTCTTTTACTACATATCTAACTATCACTACGGGGGTTTTGTCTTTGTAGTGCTAAAGTTCCACCAACCCAGGGCTTCCGCGCATGCCAGGCAATACTCTATCACTTAGCTACGCCCCCAGACCTAATTTTTAACGCTTGACTTCCTCATCAGTAAAGTAAGGCAATAGCTACCTCTCTGGGTTACCGTTAGGATTGCAAATTATATGTAGAAGATGCCCACCATGGTGACCGCAATCAAAACTGATTCAAGACCTGGAAAGCTCATTCCCTCCTAGTTAAACTGTACATTACTTATGACAGTGTAGCAATCCAGCTAACAAAATGCTGATTCAACTGAACCTACTTATTCCCAGACTTCCGATCTCTCATCGCGTCTCTCCCATTCCTGCCCCTTCATCTAGACTGCGGCACAGGAGAGGTACTGACTTACACTAGTGGCATCGGGAGTGTCAGGCTCCTTCCCACCTCACACCATTAGTGCTCAACGTCCTGTGACCCGAAGACCGAGGAGTATGAAGGAAGCCTGATGTTGTGTGAGATGCTTTGGAATCAGGCAGAGGTTCAAATCCTGTCTCCAACATTAAATCACCAATTGCTCTTTCAGCTCTGAGCCCTCTTCGTGCTTCAGATCCTCCGTGTGTAAAAAAAAAAGGATGATTTTACTCACTTCTCTGGGCAACAGAATCCTTACTATGTATCTCGCACTCTTTGAGGCCATTTATTACATATATTTATGTCCTAGTAAAACTAGCAGAAATCTGTCCCACGTGACAGTCAAACAGCGGACTTCACACCTGCGAGACACTGGGTGCCAGGCGCGTGGGGGCCCTGGTTCCCCCTCAGGAGGATAGCGGGGCGGCGCTGGAGTCTGGGCCACGACCACCTGCGGCCACTTCATGAGGCCCTGGGGTACCGGGACAAGCAGAACCCGCGGTCGGCCCGACTCTTCCCGCGGGCGCTCGCCTCACGAGAAGACTCAGCGGGCCCAGACGAGCCGGCGAGAACAACCGGGGGACCCTGGGGATCTCCAGCTCAGGGCCAGGCCGCCAAGAGAGGACATGGGCCACCGCTGGCAGGTCGCGGTTTCACGCGCGACACACTCACCTCTCTCGCCACCCTAGGCCGGGCAGAACCAGGATCCAAACTTCGCGCGCAGCCCACGGTCCCAGTGCACGGCGCCAAATCACTTGGCGCCGCCGAGCCGGAGATGCTGATTGGCTGTATCCAGAGGCAACTGACCAATACCATTTCCCCTAGCATTTGTCCTCCCCCTCAAGGGCTGTAGGGGCGGGACCGACGTATGGTGCCGGGAAGTCCCCGTATTCCCCAAACCCAATCAGAATCCCTAAGGGAGGGTCAGGTGACTGTGGTTATATCTCCGACTTCCGGTGCTAGTTGGGTCCTTTGTTTTTGTGCGTTTTTCAGTGTTGGTGAAAGATTGATTGATTTTTTGGTACCGGGGATCGAACTCTGGACCTTGCGTTTGTGAGGCAGGCCGCGGAACCACTGAGCTAAATCCCCGGCCCTGAAAGATTTAAATGAAGTAGGCGCCTGAAACTCGGACTTTGCATCATTGACAGGAGCTTGCCAGTTCCCACAGGTCAGACCAAGTCTTTGGGTCCCCATTTCTTGGTTCTGAACATCTGGCGCTGAGACTTTGATGAACTGGTCTTTACCCCCCTTTGGTACTCCTGTGCACAAGCAAACATAAATTGTCATTGACTGGGAAGTGGGGTTATAATCTCAGATGCTTCAAGAGATAAGGGAAGTTGGGCCGGGGATTTAGCTCAGTGGTGCTGTCTGCCCCACAAGCACAAGGTCCCAAGTTCGATCCCCGGTACCAAAAAAAAAAAAAAAAAAAGATACGGGAAGTGCCTGAGTGGGACGTTTCAGTTCCACCTGACTGTCCCGCCACCCACAGTATAGGCCTTGTGATGTCAGATCTTTTTTTCCTGCATCTCTTCTCATTTTGTCTTCCCTCCTTTCCTCCTTTCTTTTAAGAAAAACCGAGGGCAAAATTGATAGAGCCATTATGGGAAATAGTTTAGTGGTTTCCAAATAAAAATAGAACTACCCTATGACCCAGCAGTACCTCTTCTGGCATTTTCCCAAAAGAAATGAAATCACTTCCTAAAAATACCTACACTTCCGTGTTCACTGCAGCATTATTCACATTAGCCAAGTTAAGAAAACAAGCTAAGAGTTGGATGAGGAATAAAGGAAGGAACTGGTACAAAATGGTAGAATAGTAGCCCTAACAAAGAAGATGATCTGGCCAATTTGTCACAACACGAGTAAGTCTGGAGGACATTATGCTGAATATTATCTTTTTTATGTTAAATAAAACAAGCCAGTGACAGAAAAATATTGTATGATCTCTTATGTGAAATCTAAAAAAATTAAAAACACCTCAAATATACAAAAAGAGAGAAAACCTTTGGAGTGGAGAGCTGTAGGTCAAAGGATACAAAAATAGCAGATATGATGGATGACTAAATCTTAAAGGTCTAATGTACAAGATGAGAGCTATAGGTAATAAAAACGCTCTGTGTATTGTATTCATGCCAAATGAGTAGGTTTTAGCTGCTCTTGCACAAAAAATAGGGTATTGGAAATGATGGATATGTTCATGTTTCACTATAGTAACCTTTTAACAACCTGTAGGTATCCCCAAATCATCATATTATATAGCTCAATTATACACTTTTCTTTTTTGAACCAGGGCATTTACACTAAGCTACAGCCCCAGCCCTTATTTATTTATTTATTTATTTATGAGATAGGCTCTCACTAAGTCACTAAATTGCCCAGGCTGGGCTTGAATTTGTAATCTTCCTGTCTCAGCCTCCCAGAGTGCTAGGATTATAGGAATGGAAACAATTTAGTTTAATTATCTTAATTGGCTTTATTTTTGATTTTAGAATCCTTTCATTCCATAAACTAGAATGAGTGTTGTAGAAAGGTTGGTCTCATAGACAGGAAAGGGCTGAACACAGCAGAAAGAAAAGAAGTGGGTTGGTTGTTGCTTTGTTTTATTTTTGTTTTTGTTTTGGTACCAAGGGTTGAACTCGGGACCTTGAGCTTTCGAGGCAGGCGGCAGAACCACTGAGCTAAATCCTCAGCCCCAGTTTTTGTTTTTGAGACAGGGTCTCACAATGTAGTTCATGCTGGCCTTGAACTCACTATGTAGCCCAGGCTGGCCTCAAACTCCAGGCAAGCTTCTTGCTTCAGTCTCCCAAGTGCTGGGATTATATGCATAAACCACCATACCCAGCTCCTAATTAGTTCTTTCAAAGTTCCTTGTAAGGCAGTATAGAAAAAATAACTCATTAGTTAACATCAGATTACATCAGGTTAATTTTTGTAATGATTAAAGGATATAAGAAAGCAGAGGGAATTTCATTATCAGCTAATTAAAACTTGCCTGTTTAGGAAACCTGGTTCTCTCTCTCCCATCTCCTCTCTCCTCTCTCAATTTCTAGAAGGTCAGACATGGACCTCATCCTGAGTGACACCATTTTTATTTTTAGTTTGATCTCCAGGGGCCCAGTGCAGGACCCTAGTCTAAAACAATGGCCTCCTGTCATTTTTATTTAACAACAACAAAATGTATATATATATATATATATATAAAATCCTATATTTCTGCTAAGATATTTTATATTCTATTTTATTTTCTCCTCCTGTTGGTTCTCCTCCTGTTTGGTTTTCTAGGGTTGGTTTCTTCTCCTCTCCACCCCTCCCACCCACCCTCTTTTCTTCCTCTTTAAGTGGCCTGACACCATGGACTGTAGTTTTTGTTCTCTGTCTCTGGCTAAGGAAAAAGGAGGGGAAAAGCCTGACCCACCACCTCCTCGCAGGGCCCTCTGTCTGCAGCCTAACCTGCACATGCACGTTTTCCCCTCTTATTATTATTATTATTATTATTATTTTTTTTTTTTTTTTGGTACCAGGGATCGAACTCAGGACCTTGCACTTGCAAGGCAAGCGCTGGAACCACTGAGCTAAATCCCGGGCCCATGTTTTCCCCTCTTAAACAAAATCTTTTAGAATAGGTTATATTTCTGAGTGGGTAAAAGTTTTTGGAGGTTGAGGGGTAAAAGTTTTTCTTTTCGTTTTCTTTCCTCTTCCCTTTCCTTTCTTTCTCTTTCCTTTTCTTTCTTGTCTCCCTTCTGGACTCCTGGTGGTCCTCTCTCCCCAGTTTGTCCCACCGACCTCAGAGGGGCTGCTGTCTACATCCAAAAGGGCAGAGGCGCTGCATCCTGATTTGATGACAAATTGCCTTTCTACACACTCGATGTTGGGAGGCCTCCATTGTACCGAAGAGAATGGAGACAGTGTGGGATGACAGCAAGACCAGGTCTTGTAAGGGGAGAACCAGGAAGCAGAACAGTAGCAGGATAACCCACTGGCTCACATGCTCACCTCTGGATGCTCTGTAAGGTCAGGGCACAGGAGCTTCCTCCTTATCCTGCTGCCATGGGCTCTGCCATGTATACCTGGCTACTGTGGTATTCTATTGTAGCAACACAAAATGGACTAAGACAAATAGAAACGTAATTGCTTACTTTTGGCACAGTACCCAAACCTCAGCCATGCCTGGGGTCCTCAGTCCTTAGCCCTATTTCTGTCTGGAGGGACTGAAATGACATCTTGGAAGTAGGGCAGGGGGCACCAGAGAGGATCTCGGATCTCACTGCAGCCACTTAATCCTCCTCACTTTGGACCTGCTGTTCACCCCAACTCCAGAGATACCCGATCCTGACCACTTCTGTGCCTTTTTAAGCCACTGTGATGTTATTTGTCCACTTTCCTGGGACACCTGGAGGATACCTTCCTGGGGATACCTGGAGACTTGATAAAGCATCACTCTGGGTGTTTCTGTGAAGGTGTTTTGGATGAGACCAGCATTTAAATCAATGGACTTGAGTAAAGTGGTTTGGCTTCGGTTTTGGCCTGCTCAGGCTGCTACAACAAAACACCATTCACTGGGTGCCTTAAGCAACAGAAATGTATTTCTCATAGCCGTGGGGGTCAGGAAATCTAAGGTCAAAGTGCTGGCGTCCAGGCCCTCTTCCTGGCCTGTAGATGGCTGCCTCCTCTCTGAGTCTCAGGTGATGGGGGAGGGAAAGACCCTTTTCCAGTCTCTTCTTACAACGGCACTGATCCCGGCATGAGAGGGCTCTGACCTGAGAGGGCTCCCTCTGACCTGAGAGGGCTCCCTCAGACCGGAGGCCCTCCCACAGCCCCGCCTCCAGATGCGATTGCAACAGAGGGTGGGCGGGGCTCCATTGTAGGGTTTGGGCGGAGGACACAGAACACCCCCCCAATAAAGTGAGTGGGCCACACCCACTAAGGCCAAAAGCTGACCACCCCCCACGCCCCCACCCCTTCTGCTAGGAAGAGGACTTTTACAGCAGTCAGCCTCGGACATTGTCTGCAACTGTAAAGGTGTAATCTGGATTTTTGTTGCACAAAATTGAATGAAATTGAGATCAAAGAAGGTAGACAGGAAGCATGTTTATTAAGAAGAGAGAAATATGGGGGCCAGGGATTTAGCTCAGTGGTTCCACTGCCTGCCCCGAAAGCAAAAGGACCCCAGTTCGATCCCCAGTACCAAAAAAAAA